ATGTATTGATTCACGGAATCCTTCGCAGGAGGTCGTACCCACGAGAGGACTGAGGTCCTCCTGTATTTCCTGTATTCATCTCTGCCGTATCCTTATACTGGTCATCATTGTCTGCTCGTTTGTTCAAACTCAGCTGACTCAACTGCTTCTTCTCCGCTCTCATGCTTCCCGTCACGTCGTTCTTAAATCGGATGGAATCTGCGGAGATCACGAGTCGACGTCTGGCCGTCGGAGTCGGAGAGGCAGGAGAGGGCCCTCTCGGCATCTCGGGGACGTTCATGCTGATGTTGTCTGGAGTGGGATAACGAGTACCTGCTGTTCCGGCGCCGGTTGACGAGCTCGTCAGCACTGATTCTCCTGGAGCCCAAGGTGGGGGTCGTTGGCGAAGAGAGAGAGGCTCCTCCATGGCCGCATACTGAACGGTTTCCAAAGGAGCGGGAGGGTATCCATACATCTGCTCACCAGCGGCATCGTGGTAATTCTGATTATGGTGATGGCCCGTCAGGGATGTTGCTTCCGGGTCCGCGAGCGATGGCTCCTCAGCAGTGGGCGACAACAACGGCATGGAGGCCATCGCGCCAACTCGATGTTGGGACGAAGAGCGAGCATTCCCAGTCCTTGGCCGTTGCCGCTGCACCGAAAGTGAAGACCGGCTCATCCCGAGTCGTCCCGGCCCTCCACCGGATGCTCGTCCTTCCGCCTAGTTAGCCAACCGTCCCGAGTCTAGCAGCCATCCGGAGGAAGTAGACTTACTAGCGTCAGGAGTAGGACTAGGCGGAATAGGTGATCCTCCTTCTTCGGATTGCCTCGAGTGACGATTTCTCAACCCGCTCCCCCATTCCGCAGGCTTTCTCACCACAAACGACTCAGACGCAGAAGGTCTGAGCCCACCAGCCTTGTCCTGCAGAGACTCCTGCTGCCGGTAGTGATGCCGAGCATGCTGCTCCGAGATTGCCGTCGGGCTGGACTTGAGCACGTCCAGGTTCTTCATATGCTTGACAACCTCCCGCCAGTGCACAATCAGCATCTCAGCAATGCTGTTCGCAACATGTATCTTGTCAACAGACAACGCCCCTCGCCGCGAATGACTAGCCTCCGTATCCGTGGACGTTTTACACTTCCTCCTCTCTCGTCTGGCAGCAGGTGGCGTAACAGGAAACAACACCAGCCCCTGCTTTGGATTCGCAATCCTCATCGTATATCCATGAATCAAATCCCCCACCAGCAACGGCCCAAACACAATCCCTAAAGCGTTATACCCCATCAAATCCGCCGTAGGCAGCGGCCGTCCCAGTTCATCCTCCCTGGGAGTCTTCTCCGCCGTCCTCCCAATCAAACACAGCAACCCAAACACAGCACAAATCAACTCCCTCCGAAACTGCGACTTGACCGTGCCAATAGCAAGCGCAATCAACCTCGCCCTCAACTTCGTCTGCTTCGTCCTCGGAAACTCTGGATCCCCCTTCAGCTGACTGTGAATAGCCACCAAGGCATCAAACAAGGCCAAACTCCCCAATATACCCCCCGGCAGTCCCGCCAGCAACCGTTTAAACGTCGAGGCCACATCGTGCGTCCCAACCTTGATATGACTCGGCAGATTCGGACACCGAATCGTACTCGCAATCTCGTCCTTGTCCCCCTCGGCACAGCAATAATACTCATACAGCGCATTCACTACCCTCACCGATCCCGGAATGCGAAACACCCCCTGAGTATCCGCCGCATGCTGAACCAGATATTGCGCCGTCGCCCGAAAGCACGTCGGCAGCACCAGCGATCCCGCCGCATACTCGCTCGGCAGATACAAGAAGCTCTTCCCGCACAGCCTCACCAAGCTCTGCAGGTCCTCATCCTTGAGCGAATCCCTCCTCATCATCACCCCATTCACCAAATGCATGGCCAAATCACTCACGCTCCTCTTATGCTTCACCATCTTCTTCCCCTTTTGATCCTCCCCCCCTTCCGCCCCCGTCGTAGTCATCGACCGCCCACTCAAACTCGCAACCCCACTCCCACCCGAGACCTGCCTCCCCAGAAACGTCCTCGAAAACCAACTCCTCTTTGAACAATGTCGATTATTCTCCTGCTGCTGCAAAGGCGACCTATCCGGCTGTTGCCCTTGTCAGCCCCCCTCCTCACCCAACAACAACAACAATCACCAAGAAACAAACCTACCGACTCTTGCCCTCCCCCCCCACCCTCAACCACCACAATCCCCCTAACCCCATACTTCGCCGCCAACCGGTTATACTCCCCCACAAACTCGCTCCTATCCCCCACCTCATCCGTATCGCTCAACCCCCCCAAATCCCCGCTCGAGCTCGTCCACGTCGCACTGCTATCATTCCCTCCTCCCCTTCCACCACCAAAAGTCGCCGAGTGCGGAAGCGGTAGCTGTAACCTTCTAGGTCCTATCCCAGGTCCAAACCCACCGCCAACCGGTGAACTCTGAAAGTTCCCCCCACTGCTGAACGACCGTCCTCCCGCGAGATTGGATGGCTGGTGGGTTTCGAGGGAGGCATACCTCGACGACGACAGTGACGGCCCCGCCTCGTCAATATCTGATAAAGGTTCGTGGGTGTTGTTGTCATCCTCCTCCTCCTGATCAAGCGACTCGCTCGACCAGGTCCGTTCCATCCGAGCGCGTCGACCTTCGTCCCCATGACGAGGAGGCGGAGAAGAACCGCCGAACCGGAGGGTTTGTTGATGGTGCTGCTGCTGTTGCTGCATCATCTCGTTTGTTGTATCCAGTAAACGACAAGGGAAATAGCAAACAATCGAATCGGAGGGAGGAAGAGCGCAGGATAAAAGTATTATTCAACACACACACACACACACACTCACACACACACACTCACACACATACACACACACGAGAAAGATGAACAGACCCCAAAAACAGGATTGTCTTCAGCAGACGGTCTGTCTTTCCCCCCATGCTTCCAAACAAAGGAAAGAAAGAGATTGTGTCAAGGTCAAAATTAGAAAGAAGACCTGATGGTGTGCATCATCTCCTTGTGCAGGCAGGTAGGTGCATCTGCAAGCTGCTGCAACAACAAAGAGGCAGGCAGGCAGGTACCTAGCAACGCTAGTGTGTCAGTTACCTTAGGCTTCTCCCCTCTGCTGCTTCCCGTTTTGCATGTTTGACTTCCAGGTTGTTCAGTTCAGGCAGGAGGAATTGGATGCCCCTTCCAACAAACGGAAGAAGGAGGGACCGTGGGCGAGTAAAGTGTGGCTGGTGGGAAAGCTTCAAAGGGACAAGGGGAACAGACACCACATAAAACATGTCACAAATCTCAATTAATAAACAGAAAGAGAGAGAGAGAGAGAGAGAGAGAGAGACAGAGGGAGGGAGGGGGAGAGAGTCAGAGTCAAAGTCAGAGAGAAACAAAAAGTCTATACCGTGGGGTAAAAAATAGAACAAAATATGCAACCATGGTATTCCTTGTCCACATCCGGCCCGTGACGCCATGCAAATGCAAATCAAAATAAATCGGAGTCAAGCATAACCCAAGAGGCCTGGTGAGGGACACAGGGTAGATACTGGTCCCCGTTCCAAATATTATCATGCCCATGCCGCCCCCCGACCTAATTCCCCCGAATATCGTCGTCCTCCTCGCCATAGAGCAAAACATACTTTAGAATGTCCGATAGTGAAATGATGCCCTTGAGACGGTTATCGTCATCCACCACAATCAACCGATGCACCCTTGACTTCCGAATTGTGTCAAAGATGGCATCCAGCCGGTCATCCTCATTGCACGTGTAGATGCCACCGAATTCTTCGGCCCGTCTGGACAGCGCCTCGCCCACCGTGGCGCTCAGCTCGTCGTAGGCGCCACCCTTGATGCAGGGTATCACATCGACCGCCTCAAACAGGTTCAGAACCCTGTTGTCCTTGTCGATGATGGGCACCGCCGAGATGTTGTACTTGACCATGAGGTGAATAACGTCGAGAACCGAACTGCCCATGGTGGCCGTCGCCAGGTCCTTGTAGGTGCCCAGCCCAAGCTCTCGGACGGGCTTTTTCAGCAACATGGTGTATTGTTCGTTGTTGACGGCGATGAACTTGAGGATGCGGTACTGCGTGATGACGCTGACAACCATCTCCCTTCCCGTCTCGTCGTCCCGATCTACCAATGGGATCCTCCTGGCTCTCGTTTTGAGCATGCGCCGACATGCCTCATACAAGGGGCGCATAGGATGGACCGACACCGTTTCGAGCGGCAGCACGCCAATCGCCCTTTCAATGTCTGCCGCCTTCATTTTAGCCCCCGTCTCTCCTAGAAAACCTCCTTTGCGGCGGCCACCTACCTCGAAGACTGCTCAGGCGGAACTGATCGATGTGCGCAATCTCGTCAGGGAACTGGCAGTAGTACTGAATGACATTGATAAAGTCGGTGCTCGTCAGCAGGCCGGCAAAGGCTGAGTTCTGCGAATCCCAGAGCGGCGCTGACACGATGCCTGCATGTTCAACCCGGAGTCAGTACGTCATGGGGTAGCAGAGGGCGTCAAGGAGGGGTCCGCGAACCGTTTTGTATGAGAATGTTCAAGCTCTTCTTGATGAGCAGGTTGTTATCGAGCACAACCAAACGGAAGGACAGAGGCAAGACATCGTAACTCGTCCGGACCTTGAGGAACTCGCGCACCCCTCTCTGTTTGTCCAAAACCACGCGTTAGCTTCCATGTCGAGGCCATCAGGGTCTGCTGCAGCCCATGGCCGGAACCCCGCATCAGCAGCAGTTGCATTGCGAGGTTGGGAGCGCAGGGAGACAGCGGGGTTCGTTCCCAGCCAGGCGGGTTGGGCGCGTGGCCATTCGGAACATGGGGAGGATGGGTCGATGTATGTTTGAACATGTGTGCCAGGCAGGCCGGGCTGTCTATGTATGTATATACATGTATATCATGTGTGTATCATGTGTGTGTCTGGGTGCGCGTGGATGGGAAGGGCGCGGGGGTTGACAGGCTGGGCAAGGGGGGGGGGCACGATGGGTGTTAGATAGATAAATGCTCACCAGACCCTGCATCTGCTCCTTGTCCAGCGGACCTGAGGCTCTATTATCCGACATTGTGCGACTGATGGGCTTTGGACGCAAGTAGGAGGACGGGGCCGCGACAAAGGGGAGCTCGTGACCATGTCGCAGCGGCAGCGGGCCACTGGAATTGGTTCCAGCCGCAGAGGTTGTGGTGGGAGAGGAGGCAACAGGAGCACTGCCCTCGGTGGCAGGTCCAGGATGTGCCTTTTCGGCGGGCGTACGAGTGTCGTCTTCCATTATCGTGATGGTGGAACGTGGCCGCACATAGGGAGGGACTCTGCTGTTCCGCGGCCGGTGCGCTTCGCCAGGCGCAAAAAAAGGAAACTTGTCTCTGGGGTCCAAGTTCCAGACAGAGCAAGCCTCCTTTGCGGTGGAAAGTGTTGTTGTGTTGCCGCCCAGCGGGACCGAGGACCGGAGGTAGTCGAGAAGGGGCAGACCAGGAGGGAGGGAGAAAGAGAGAACAAAGGGAGCTGCAGCCACTCTCTGTCCAGATGCTCGCTAGGCCAGGAACAAGACCTCTCTTGTCTGGAAACTTGTGATACAACGGGGCGGGCACTTGGAGAGTTTTATCGGGCAACAGTTCCAGAGCTGCTTGGCTCTGCTTTGCCCGATAAGAAATAATAAGGTGCGACGCTATACCGCTGGATACCTGCGATTAGTGCATGTGGATGCCGATCCGTCCTGTGGCTTGGGGCTGTGGCTCCGGCACGCCATTTCGATATGTCATGGCTTGGTTCAAAGAGCCACAACCTTCTGGCACTGCGCTGCTGATTACCAGAGTGAGATGTCATATTTTCATGTCTACACAGTGTTGTCAAGTGATCTAATTCCATGGTCTGGATGAAGCTCCTCTGGTTCAACCACTGACAGCTCCCTATCTCGAGATGCACAAGGTGGGGCACACCGAGGGTAGAGGGGCTGGTCCAAACGTCTGGAGGATTGTGATACAAAATCAAGCAGGTTATAAGTCGTCAAAAGCTATATGTGCTAGTTAATCCATCCGTCTTGGTCGATTTCAATACGCTGTCACAGGGTCCAAATGTGAAAATGTTCAAAATGTGATGGTGATGAGTCTCGGGATTAGAGGAACGGAACTTTTGCCCCGCCATTCCCAAGCATGACTTCATTGCCTGTGGCCTTCATCCTTCCCACCTTGGGCACGGCAACATATAGCCTTCTTGGAGGATTGCGGTGCCTTATGGGATGAACCTTGGAGTATTTGCAGGTTTCATGGTGTACTCATCCCACAACAGCGTCCAAAATATTGGATTGTGTTTTATGCGCGTAGAGTTTTCTGGATGGCCATCAAAGATCACCGCAGGATGCTCTGAAACAGGTATGCCGAAGCCGAAGATCGGGGCCGTTCACAGATGCATACATAGATTGCAGGTGCTCCATGGATATGCGCCACAACCGCTGTAAATTGTGTCTCGTAATTGATGCTCCCTGAGCCATATGCCACTCTTGTGCTCCTAGAGTAGCAGCCTTCTATGTCCTACAATATCTGCTTGGCCATTGGCTAGACAGTCCAATTTTTGATATGAAGTCGATTTCATCTCTGGGGAAGCGAGCCGAACTCTCCACACTTGCCAAGTGGAACAAGGCCTGATAAGCCAATGTTCAGATGTTGACGTAGGTAATCCATCCCCGACGGTCGTCTCGGAGTGAGGCTGTCAGGAGAGGGCAGACATGTTCGTCTGGAAGGGCGGGAGGCGGGAGGCGGGAGGCGGGGAGGTGGTGGTCGGTGAAGGTGGTGAGCCTGACGTGCCTGACCGGCAACACGTTGTCGTTCTTGAGCTGTCACAGCTTCCAGGGCTCTGTCGCCAACTCATGTTGGGTGAGTGGGTTGCCGTTGCCGAGCTGCAGGGTACAAAGGTACAACATCAAGCAGCGCACAGGCCACAGCAACCCCAGAAGCTGTGTTGGATAAGGCAGCGTCGATTCGATGACATGAGCGCCTCCCATTGTGCGTGTGTGCGTGTGCCGTGCGATTCCCTGGTGATCCAGGTCCCCCAAACAACAAACAACATCGGCCTCGGCAGCCCAACGCCTGCCAACTCAACCTGACCGCTAGGTACTGGCCGCCACTGTGAACCCCATCAAACTCCCCATTCGAGGGCCATGTTTCTTTGATATCTTTTCTCTTGTTGCACATCCCGCCCCCTTCCGCTGCAAGCCAGCGACAGCCGCCAAACGACCGAGCTTGCTTTTCAATACCTACACCACACCAGACAAACCCCGACATCATCTCACCCCGAGCCTTCGAACTCGGACCCCTTGGCGCTCTTCCATCAGCCGCCATGGGTGTCTGTAATTCTACTTGTTGTGGAGGTACGTCTTTTCCGTGTCCGGTATCCGATAGGGCCGTTGCGCTGATGCTAGATTCCGCAGGCAAATCCCGCGATGGGCTATACGAAAATGTCCTCGCCGACAACGAAAGGGAGGCCGTAGCCGACCTTCTTCAATACCTTGAAAACGTACGCTGCCACGGTTATTGGCCGTCTACCCGTTGCTGACATGCTGATAGCGTGGAGAGACCGATTTCTTCTCCGGTGAACCTCTTCGAGCTCTGAGCACTCTCGTCTTCTCAGACAACATCGACCTGCAACGAAGCGCGAGTTTGACATTCGCCGAGATCACAGAACGAGGTGCGTGGGCAATGACCCGCATGTGCGGCCTACTTTCCGCCATGCTGTCCAAGCACGGGCGAGACCAGGCCGTCGCCGTGTGCAAATCGCTAACATGTGATCTTCTACAGACGTACGAGCCGTCGACCGCGACACCCTCGGGCCTATTCTCTTCCTTCTGGAGAACTCGGACATCGAGGTACAACGAGCGGCTAGTGCCGCGCTGGGAAATCTTGCCGTCAACAGTAAGGACACCGCCGGCAACCTTTCGCGGAGCAACGCCATCGGATGCTAACACAAACGTACAGCGGATAACAAGGTTCTGATTGTTCAGCTTGGTGGTCTCCAACCCCTTATCCGGCAAATGATGTCGCCAAACGTCGAGGTTCAGTGCAACGCCGTCGGGTGTATCACCAATTTGGCTACCCATGAGGATAACAAGGCCAAGATCGCACGGTCTGGTGCCCTTGGTCCATTGACACGCCTCGCCAAATCGAAGGATATGAGGGTACAGAGGAATGCCACCGGGGCTTTGCTCAATATGACACATTCCGGTATGTTGGTTGTCACGACTTCTGTGCTCGGCAAATCGCGGCTAACAAGTTTTGTAGACGAAAACCGGCAACAACTAGTGAATGCTGGTGCCATCCCCGTCCTCGTCCAGCTTCTTTCCTCGGCCGACGTGGACGTCCAATATTATTGCACGACAGCCTTGAGCAATATTGCTGTCGATGCTGCCAACAGGCGGAAGTTGGCGCAGTCCGAGACCAGGCTTGTGCAGTCCTTGGTGCACTTGATGGATTCATCATCGCCAAAGGTACAATGCCAAGCCGCCCTGGCACTTCGAAATCTCGCCTCAGACGAAAAGTACCAGCTCGAAATCGTCCGCACCAACGGTCTTGGGGCTCTCCTCCGTCTACTTCAATCTTCTTACCTGCCTTTAATCTTGTCCGCAGTCGCATGCATACGCAATATCTCCATCCATCCTTCAAACGAGTCGCCAATTATCGAAGCCGGATTTCTCAAGCCACTGGTTGACCTCCTCGGTTCTACTGATAACGAGGAGATCCAGTGCCATGCGATCTCAACGCTTCGAAATCTTGCCGCAAGCTCTGACCGTAACAAGTCGCTCGTGCTCGAGGCGGGCGCCGTACAGAAGTGCAAGCAGCTTGTACTCGAGGTTCCTGTAACGGTTCAATCCGAGATGACGGCTGCTATTGCTGTTCTCGCCCTGAGTGACGAGCTCAAGACACATCTACTGGAGCTTGGCGTCTTTGAGGTTTTGATTCCACTCACGAAGTCACCCAGCATTGAGGTCCAAGGAAACAGTGCTGCCGCCCTGGGCAACCTGTCATCCAAAGGTCAGTGGTGTTTTTTACAGTGTATTGTGTGTGTGCTAACCATTTCTAGTGGGCGATTATTCGATATTCATCCAGAGCTGGACAGATCCTTGCGACGGCATTCACGGCTACCTCAGCAGGTTTCTCGCCAGCGGAGATGCCACCTTTCAGCACATCGCGATCTGGACGCTGCTTCAGCTTGTTGAATCCGAGGATAAGAAGCTTATTGGGCTCATTGGCAAGTCCACGGATATCATGGAAATGATGAAGCAGATTGCCAACCGACAGGTCGAGTCGGACAACGAGCTCGAAGACGACGATGAAGGCGAGGTTGTCAGTCTCGCTCAGCGCTGCTTGGAGTTGTTGGGTCAGGGTGCGTCGAAGAGTCATATTGAGGGTTGAGACCGGCACGGCTCTTCAATAGGAGGTTGAGCTTTTGTTCTGCGCTTGTTGGCATTGTTTTATTGGTTCATTCTGGCTTAAAATATTCATTCGGCATAGTACTCGGCGTGGAGTTGGCGGCGTCTGTATGAATTACCATGCACGGAACGGGAAGGAAGGAAGTATGGAGGAAAGGGGGGGGTTTCGGAAGACCTTGTATCTTGAACCTGAACCGGTCGAGCATATGGAAGGGGTCGTGGCGGTGGTCGGGTTATGGAACAGGACAAAAAGAAGGGAAGCCAGGACATGGAGCACTTACTACATGTTTTTTTCTCCTCTTTTTCAAAAGACCCGCCGGGGCTTCTTTTGGGACCTCTTTTTTTCCTTTGTACTACTACACATTACCACTATGGCACACAGAGAGAGAAATAGTTTTTGTGTTTTTTTTCTTCGGGCTTTGACAGTGTTTTTGGCCTCTTTGGGGCGTCTTTTTCACTATGTTTTATACACGGGTTATGATGGTTGTTGTTGGGTGGGGGAAGAAGGGGGGTGGGGGGGCGGTGATTGTTTGTTGCTATTTATTTTTGATCCATACCACCTTTTATTATTGTGAATTCCAACTTTTATTCCGGCAGCATTAATACTATGCCTTGATTGTTGTTTTGACCTCTGTTCATTGTGGGATTGATGACATGAATATTGCAGAGACAATAAGTAGGTTCTTGGCAGATAGTTCATGTAAACAGGAGAGAAGGTGAGTAGTATTTTTTTTTTCGGGGGGGGGGGGGGGGGTTAAAAGCAAAAATACATTCATCATTCCAGTCACTGTGGCCC